CTGCCTGGCGCTGGCCATGGCGCTGGGCTTGGTGGAGCCGCGGCTGGAGGAGCAGCGCCGGGCTGAGGCGGCGTGTCGCCACATCCAGGTGGGAAGCGGCCCGGGGATCCCGCTGGGCAGCGCCTCGCTCCGTGAGGGGAAGGGGGGGGCTTGCTGGGGGGGAGACCTTCACCCCCACCAAGAAGGGCACGGGGGTCGTAGCCCTCCGGACATTCTTCATGAAGGAGAGGGTGGTCCTTGATGTGTGGAGCCTCTTTAACCGCCCCATGAACGCCACAGAGTGTCAGTGCTGTGGGGAGCCACTTAAACACGCTCCCCTATGAAGGGAAGGGGGTCCTTGCTTTGGGGAGTCCCTCAGATACCCCCCATTAACAGCACTGGGGGGATCATTGCTCTGGAGAAGCCTTTAGCCATCAGCCACAAAGGGGAGGGGGATTCTTGTGAGGAGCCCCTCAGAGGGGACGGGGAGGTCACTGCTGTGGGGAGCCCCCCCAGACACCCCTGGTGAAGGGGAGAGCCTTGTTTTATGGACCCCCTCATGAAGGGAAGGGATCGCTACTGTGGGGAGCCCCCAGACACCTCCTCATCTCTCCCCAAGGAAAGTGGGGGGTGCTGCCATGAGCAGCCCTCAGGTACCTCTTTCTCCCCAGAAATAGGGTCCTGGGGAAACCTCGCTCTCAGCAGCCTCTCATCACCCTAAAGCAGGTACTTTCAAAAGCAGGGGACCCTCACTCCCTGTTTCCCCACAGAGGGATGCGGTCAGGGCCCTGGTGTCATGTCCCAGGCCACTGATGTTGATCCCCAGGTCCATCCCCTCTGCCTGAGGCAGACAAGGGACCCTGTGGTGCTGGGCCAGGCCGTGATGGATGGTGCTGGTCATGTTTCCTGGGTAAAAATAGACCTTTGGTGCTCTGAGCCAGCTGTCACCTGCTCCACCAACCAGCAGACACATTCCCTGAAGTTTCTCAGGGTGCTTTCTCTCCTCTGTCCTCGCTGGGTTGTTCCATTTGCTGTCCCTGGCTCTGTGTCCAATGACACATCCGTAAAAAGTGTCACCAGTGCTTTGGGCTGCAGAGGCCACTCGTTTGTATCAGTCCAGGTGACAGCTGGGGCACCACCAGACCTGTAGGATCATAAAGTGTGATGAAACTCCAGAGCAGCCTCCTGAGTGTTATTTTCCCACATCTCTTGATTTCCTTCCCCCAGCTCCCTCCTATCATGGATGCACTCTTCCTCAAATTAACCAGCCCTCTCAGTTGGCTGCCACAAAAAGGCAATTGTTTTTCCTGTTGCTGCTTTTAATTGGATTTTCTTTTAAATGCTGTTTACCTGGTTTATTTATGGAGAGGTTGAAAAGTGTAATAATGCATCTTGTCTTCAGAAGTGTTCAGTTAAACTTTTCTTTACACAACTGTAGAATCATGGAATGGCTTGGGCTAGTAGGGACTTTGAGGCCCGTCTCTTTCCACCCCTGCCGTGGGCAGGGACACCTTCCACTATCCCAGGTTGCTCCAAGCCCTGTCCAACCTGGCCTTGGGACACTTCCAGGGATCCAGGGGCAGCCACAGCTGCTTTGGACAAAATATATTTATATTCTAGATTGGCAAATGACTCCCCCTCCTGGTTCCTCTTCTTTCCTTGCAAAAGGCACCTTTAGAAAAGACTGGTTTAGGGGTAAATCGTATCTGACAAAAATATATGGCCTGCAGATGATCTTTCATGTGGTTACAGTGATTTGAGCCCCGTGGTTAGAGTCTGATTGAGACTTTCAGGCTGGACCAACCCACCAGGATGTGCAATACCACTGAAACACCAGGTTCTCCTTCCCTGGGAGGTGTGGGATAACTGAGCGGGTTTTTCTCTTCATATTCCTTTCAGACCGTGTTTGTTGGGAAGAACAAGCCGCAGAAAGATCCCCTGAGCTCCTTCCGCTGGCAGGGCTTCAAGCTGGAGGAATATCTCATCGGCCAACCCCTCGGGAAGGGCTGCAGTGCTGCTGTGTACGAAGCAGCTATTCCCTTCTGTCCCGCTCCTCGGGATCGTGTGGAGAGCAGCCAGCTCCCAGCCGTGCAGCAGGAGCGTGGCTCAGCTTCCCAGGGGGCTGCAGAGGAGCCTGTAGTGAAGCACCAGCCAAAAGGGGCTTTTCCCTTAGCTATCAAAATGATGTGGAACATTTCGGTAAGGAGTCCCCGTGTCTGCCGCCGGGGAATTCTGGCTGGAATGTTTAATGCTGAAGTGTTGAAAGCGCTAATTATGGAGCGCAGGATGATGTGTCACAACAAAGCTATGGGTAGGTGACACTGGAGTGTTAGTGAAGAGTCCCAGAGCGAGGTAATTAGCATTCATCATCCTCTGGAATCAGCACTGAGAGCTGCTGCTGGAGCTGTTGGGTATGGAGGTGATGTTTTGGGAAGAAAAGGTTTTTCTGAGGCTGGTTCTATTAGAAAGGTCTGAGAAGGGGAAAGCCACTGCTTTCCCTTGCCAGTGATTTAGGAATTGGTGTCTTGTCAGGTGGGTTTTCTTCCTGAAGAGTCGGTGATCTCAGGGTGCACAGTAACCTGCCTGCTGTGTCCCCTTGCCGTGAGGTGGCTTTCCAAGATCCGCTCCAGTGTTTCCCAGCCCGGGTAACTGAGGATCCAGTTCCTCAGTGTGGCTCTTCCATGTTTTAAAAAGTCCACGTGGCTTTCCCCATGTGACAAGTATTTCAAGAGAATCTTCCAAAATGCCAACATCTGCAATCCCTTGGACTCCAGAAGTACCCTGGCATTTAGCTGTGGGCTCTTCCACTTGGGTTTGGAAGTTGAAAGTGAGTGCTGAGGTGTAGTTTGGATTGCTTACGGTCAAGGATGCATTTGAAGTGACAAATAGATTTCTTTCTGCAAATAAAGGCCTTGCAGCTTCCCTAGGTGAACTCTTTAAGTAGTTAATTGCCTTCCCTGATTTTTCAAGAGAGGGAAGTCCTGGAATCTGGTGTCAGTCCATCCAGCTCCAGACGCAGTGCCAGCATCAGGATTGTCTGCTTTCAGCTTGTGTTGTGGCCAGATGATTTCGGAGCTGAAACCAACGTGGGGTGTGGTTATTGTTGCAGGCTGGTTCCTCAAGTGAGGCCATCCTCGATGCCATGGGCCGAGAGCTCGTCCCAGCCACAGGCGCTGCCTTGTCCGGGGAGTACGGGGCCATCTCTGGCCGCAGGTACGGAGGTGGCAAGGTGCTCATTTTACCCCTTGATTAATTTTTGCAGCAATTAGGGCTTTCTAGAATAGCTGCTGAAAGCAGGTAAAGCTGGGGATTGTTAAATTTGTTGGCGTGCAACAAATTGCATTGCTAAACTGTGTGGTTCAGAGGGGTTTGGAAGGGTGCACCAATAATTTGGGAGCGTTTGAGGTCCCACAAGGGTGTGGTGGGTGTCTGTGGCTGTTTTAGCTTCCCTGTGTTGAAAAGTGTTGGCATTTGCTGAGGTAAAGGCTGGAGGAGCCACAGGTTAAAGACCGTTTAAATTTGTATTGTGATGCTTTATAATTGCACCAATGCAATTGGTAACAGTTTGAGTGCATTAAACATCAAATGATTTCACTAATACAATTTGACTGTGAGGTTTGAGAGCTAGTTTGGTGTAAAATGGGTGCTGGACAGGGAGCTTGAAACTGTTTTAGTGCAAGAAAACTGGTGAGAAGGAAAATGGAAATTACTCAGTTCCTACTCTTTGACCTGAGCAAACAGCATGAAGGTGAAAAATTTCATGGAAACTTCTAAATTACCTCAAGTTAGCTATCTTTTTGTTCAGAAATGCATCTTTTTGTTCCATTTGAAACAATGGAGTCCACAGGCCAGATTGTCTGATTTAAATTTCAAATCCATCCCGGCTGCCAATACAAATGCATAATGAATGCTGTGCCCGTGGCTGGCTGGGAATGCAGTAGAGCAGCCAAAGGGATATTTGACATTCAGGGGATGAGAAATCTGTCTTGCAGACAAATAGGTAACCTGCTTTTCAGGGCAGGGAGAACTTCCTGCCTGTGCCATGAAATAGAGGGTCTAAATTGATACTCCCAGCGTGAAGTTGACCTTTATTATATGTCTAACAAAGTAATTGCATTTGGGTGTTATTCTCTAGAGCAGCTGTAGCTCTTTTTGAATGGAGAAGCAGCCTGTGCCTGGCTCTGCCTTTGTTAGCAGCATGGAAGGGTTAGTGGGGCTTGAGTAAAATGAAAGCTGAATGTTTTGTGTGAGGGTTTTTATCAGAGCTTTGTTTGTAGTGCAGGTAAAGCACCTTATTTCCTGTTTGGCCATTGTGAATAGGGAAATCCAGTTACAGCAGAGCCCCTGGGAGGTCTTGGTCGGCTCAGTTTGCTCTGGGAGGCGTGCAGTCCTGTAATTCACCCTGTGCAGCTTTAATCTCCCTCTGATGAGGCTTCCAGTGCAGAACAAACGTGTTTGCTCACTGCTGGGGAACCCTTTGGTGTGGAGGACAGGCCATAATAATGAAAAATAATTCCAGCAATAACAGCAACGTGCCAGTGATCCACCAGAACCAGCTGAGGAATTGGTGCAATCTGTGGTGTCTTTCCTCTGCACAGAAAACCTGTCCTTGGGAGGAAGAAGCTGCAGCCTCACCCGAATATAATCCAGGTGATCCGAGCGTTCACATCCTCCGTCCCTTTGCTGCCTGGAGCCTTTGCTGACTATCCTGATGTCCTCCCTTTGAGCCTGAACCCCAGAGGGATCGGGCACAGCCGCACCCTCTTCTTGGTGATGAAGAAGTAGGTGGAGAGAAGCTGGTTAACGTGACTTGGGTACTCTGTCCCCGCAAAGCTTGGCTCTGGGCTGCTGCCAAAGAGCAGAGTATGCTCTTGGAAACGCCTCTCAGGACCTGTTCCAAGTCCTTGAGGTTCTGACTGTGCTTCCACAATGAAGACAAACCGTTCTTTTTAATAATTACCCCAAATTAAAGTGAGAAATGTGGAGTTTGTCCCCATTTGTCTGCCCTTCTGAGCCTGAACTTCACCCGTAGTCTGAGCACAGTGCTAGAGATGGAGTAGAATCTGTAATGAGATGAGCCAACACTGAGGTTGAACTGCCAGTGATAAGCCTCCAGGATAATTCCTGGGTTTTTTTTTCCCCTTGTTCTGCCTAGTTACCCCTGCACGCTGCGCCAGTATCTGCAGGAGAACACTCCGGATGTTCGCCTCTCCACAGTGATGATTCTGCAGCTCTTGGAAGGCGTGGACCACCTTGTTCGACATGGAATAGCACACAGAGACCTCAAGTCTGACAACATCCTGGTTGAATTTGATTCTGGTATGTAGATCCCTGAGGATAAATGCCAGTTAGAGGTTTTGGATCATTAACATGGAAACAGTGTATTGCTGAGGTGATGGATTGCATGAGCACAGCCAGCATTGACTGGAGCATCCTGGAACAGCACATTTGGAATGCTGCAGGGGCCTTTGCTTTGGGCTCTTGGTTCTGTCATCTTTCCCAAGCCAGAGAGTACAGGGAGCCTCTTAAATTCCCATGGCCAGGTTAATAGTGCTGCACCCTGGGATGATGAAACATGAGTTGAGTGCTGCACCCTGGGATGATGAAACATGAGTTGGGAGGGAGGGGATGCAGCATTTTCATCGATGTGTTCTCCTGTCAGCCCCTAACAGCAGTTTTAATTACCTGAGCTCTTTTTTGGTGTGATTGAGAGTCAAATCAGCAGGAAGCAATAGGAGGCAGGCAGGTTTGTGTAATTAGGAGTGGAAGAATTTGGTTGAAGAGTATCAGGGAGAGAGAGACAGGGAGAGAGAGACAGAGAGACCACTGGAATCCACCCTGCCTTCCTGGAGACTGACCCAAGAGGTGGGCAGCACAGAGGATTCTGTGTTCCTGGGGCTCAGGATTTATAATCATAAAATCATGGAATGATTTTGGAAGGGATCTTGAAGCTCTTCTCATTCCAACACCCTGGACAGGGACACCTCCCACTAAACCAGGTCACTCTACTGAACATCTTCACCCACAATCTTGGTGAGGGGATCGAATGCCCCCCGAGTCGGTTTGCAGAGGACACCAAGCTGGCTGTTGATGTGATGTGTTTGGTGCTGCCAGATCCTCACAAACTGAACGCTGTTGTTCACAGCTGGCTGCCCCTGGCTGGTCATCACTGACTTTGGCTGCTGTTTGGCAGATGAGAGCATTGGCCTGAGGCTGCCCTTCACCAGCTCCTACGTGGATCGGGGTGGCAACGGCTGCCTTATGGCACCTGAGGTAAATCCCTCTGCAGCACTGCTTTCTGGGGCTGGTTTTCTGCTTGTCCACCTGTCAGGACTAGAAGTTTTGGTGGTGTGGAAGGTTTGTGTCTCACCTTGGGTTAGGCTTGGTGAAACATCTGTGCTGAACTATGTCAGATAGACACCTTGAGCTCTAACAGGTGAAACATAATCAGTTGATGTTAAGAGGCAGAATCAGCCTTTCCCCCCCAACAAATTTACTCTTTATTCAGGCCCCTTTCCATGTAGCTATTAAGAATTTAATGCAGCAGTGCTTGTGTTGCAACAGTAGCATTTGGCTGAAGTTCAGGGTGGTTGTGAAATTATTTACAGTTCCATTTTATTTCTCTGATGATAAGCCAAATAAAAACCAAGACACCCTTGGTGGTGTCTGCTGGACCTGGAGCACCTTGCCATGGTGTTGGTTGTTCACCTACAGGTCTCCTGTCTCTGTGATTCCAGCAGGAGATAGCCCCTGGGACTCTGGGAATGCTGGTCATGGGCAGCAGCTAAAGCCTCGGTGCAATGTTCAGACTCCTCCCAGCATCCCAGTGGGCTGAGCAGTGCCAGGGGCTTAGAGCATGCCAGTAGGGAATATTTACACCTCAGATTCAGAATAAACCCACCTTTGGACTCAGTGTCTAAGTTTATTAGAGGGAAAATGCTGGTTTGAGCATTAGAAATGGAATTTCAGCACAGAGGCTGCACTCGAGCTGTTTATTTGAGTAGCCCCCTCTCTGTGGCAGGTGATCACAGCATCACCTGGTCCAGGCACAGTGATCAACTACAGTAAAGCTGATGCCTGGGCTGTTGGAGCGATTGCCTACGAAATCCTGGGCCTGGCCAATCCTTTCTATGGCCATGGGGACTCGACTCTGGAAAGCAGAAGTTACCAGGAGGACCAGCTGCCAAGCCTGCCCGACCATGTGCCCCTCGAGGTGAAGCAGGTGGTAAAGATGCTGCTTCAGAGAGATCCCAACAAGGTAAGAAGCTGTTGCCTTCAAGATAACTTCTTTGGGAATATCTCTGGTGGATCACTTTGCCTTGGGGCAGGTACAGGGGTTAATCCAGATCTCACTGCAGGATCAAAGGACAACATAAGGATCAAAGCTAAAAATGTCTTTGCTGAGTGGTGCTGAATCATTTCAGGGATTTCAGGAGATGTTTGTGTCGGGACCAGACCTCACATTGGAGGGTTACACACAACATTATATATATATATACAATAACAGTCTCAAAGAGCTTTCTAATTCATATGGTGGTGCCTTAGGGGGGGCCCAGGGAGTTTTGGAGGTGCCAGTGCTCCGTGCTGGTGATGTGGCTGAGTGCAGCAGGATCAGCTAATCTCCCTTCCCCTTTTGCAGAGGCTGTCTGCGAGAGTGGCTGCGAATGTGCTGCACCTGAGCCTCTGGGGTGACAGTGTTGTAGCATCCAGGAGCCTGAAACCTGACCAGATGATTGCCTGGCTGCTCTGCCAGTCTGCAGCCACCCTGCTCACCAACAGGCTGGCAGAGACCAGCCAGGTAGAAACCAAAATGAAGATGTGCTTCTTGGCAAACCTCGAATTTGAAGACCTCTGGGCAGCAATATTCCTGTTGCTGGCTTGGAGAAGCCACTCTGGGTGAAGGAACCCCCTGGAACACGAGCATCCCACATAAATGGCACTTTCTAAAGGCACATAGGAACCTGTCCTTTCTGTCTGTCTGGAATCCTGTAGTGCTTTAGGGAACAAGCTGCAGGCCTGTGTTTAGGAGCTTGAGTTTCTCTCAAGCAAGTGTTAACCATGCTGCTTTTGTGTCCCTGCTAGAGGAGATGCCCTTGCTTCCTCACCCTCTGAGGGGAGGGTGTGTGGACTTTGCAGGTGTCCAGAGGTGCGTGGTTGGTTTTGCTCCCATTTGGGAATTCATTGACTCGTGAGTTGTGTGTTGAGTGGAGCAGATTCCTTTCAGAGGGGTGGCTGGGAGGAGGCAGCGTCTGGCTGCATTTTGCATAGGAACATCACAGTTTAAACAGCACACAGAAATCCAAGCTGGCAAAGGGACCTGCAGTCTCTGTTCTTGGGGTAACCAGGCTGGTTTGAAACTCATTTTCTTCTGAGCTGTGAAGTGACAGCCTGAAAACTTCCTGATGAGGTGCTGCCTGGTAACGTGAGCGTCAGCAGCACTAAAAACCTCGCAGTTGTACGCAGGAGAGTGGAAGCACATCATCCTCAAAACCCGCTTATCGTTGTTCTTAACTCGTGTAGCTCTGTGGTGGCAGCTGCCCCAGGCTCCAAGGCTGAGTCAGACTCTCCAGTTAGGGATAAATCTCCAAACAAAGTGAAGTTGGGCAGCCTGTGTTTCCTTCAGTGAAATAATATCCTTTGGTGGGGAGGACGGGAGAAATCAATCTTTTAAGTAACAACAGCCATGGTTATGAAACAGCATTGAATTTCATGGCTATAATTGTGTTTAGAGGAACTTGGGGGCAAAGTTATTTATGCTTGTCGCACAATAAATTAAAGATTAAGCTCTGTGGCTGTGTGGGTTCTCTCAATCCAATTTGGGCTGTGGAGCATTGGTTCTGGGGTGTCTTAAATGAGAATTCAGCTCTTCTCAGTGCTAACTGTGCAAAATGGTGTTTGACTCCAAGTGGAATTTCCTGAAGAGGAACAGACCTTGCCTTGGGGATGTGTTTTGTACTCTCCTGCATGGTAAACTGCTCCTGCACTTTCCAGTTGGATGACAATGGCTGATACCCCTGATCATCACAGGATAACCTGCACTCAGGGTCCTGCACATTATTCTGGTGCAGCGAAGAGCCTGGGGAACCGGGGGAAATGAGCTCTTGGGGGGGAAAAGCTGCAAAAAAAGACCTTTGTAACATTGATCTGACCCAGCCAAAGCGTGTGCTGCTGTTTCTTCCATTGCTGAGCTCTTGCAGTGTGTTTCTGCTGCCTTTGCTTTGTGTGTGCTTGGGTCTGGCAGTGTCCATGCCCTGGACACTCTGGAGCCTTTTGAGGAGTAAATGCTGTTGCTGTGTGGTGGATCTCTAATCTGAGCTCTCTTTCTGCCATGAATACCATTCCCATGCCTTTCATTTTTGCTCCTGGGTCCAGTCTCTATACCAGTAGGGATCAGAATTAGGGGCTGGAGCCATCCAGTGTGTTTGTATTTGCCCAACCAGGGTTTTATCTGCGCTGATGAACTCCACTGGTTGGAAACTTGCTTCCCCTGGTTTCAATTCCATCCTCAAAAATGGCCTGAAATGCTTGTCCTGCAGCTTGTCCCTCTGGTCCTTAAATCCCTCTTAATGCTTCCCTTGTGCTTGCATTTTGTTGTCCCCACCATGGTTCTGCTGAGGTCAGACTTCCCTTTTGTTTTCTCTCCCTTCCACCTTCCGCCAACGAGACGTTTTTATGATTCTTCAGCATTTTGGGTGCTTCTGTGGAGTGCAGGTTAAAAGTACAGGCTGTTAATGCAACAAAGGCTGCCGTGCTGTCTGTCTGCAAATGCCCAGGGGGAGCAAACTGGGACATCTCCCAGCACATCCCTCCCTCCCTGTCCCGCTAATCCCTGCGCAGGCTCTTGCCCCTCACTGCCGTGTTTGTTCCCAGGACTGTGGCATTGGGAAAGAGGGTGGCTGGGCTGGATTTCTGCCCTTCCCCAGGCAGTGGAGTGTCCGGTGCACTTTGATCCCTGGAGGGAGGCTTGGCAGAGGCAGCCGGTGCTCTGCCCGAGCTGGGAACGGGCTCTGCAGCACCCCTTGCTGCCTTTCCAGGGTGGGAGTGTGCAGGTCAGGATGAGGCTTCTGCTCTGGGCTGCCTGCAGCCGGCTGCTGCCCCGGGGAGCTGGGCTCTGCTGTCCCAAACCAGCTGTGACAGCTATGGTGACCGCCTCACACCACAGCCTGCGGCCCCCGGCCCTTCTGGCCACCTCCAGCTCCGCAGCCAGTGCACCTGCAGGCTTCCTCCAGGCCCTGGTCCCACGGAGCAGATCCCCCAGCTGCTGGAGCTCCCAGTTCAACGTGCCCCCCAGTGCCCTGCTCGTGGCCAGGCCCGTGGGGGTCTGCTCCATGATGAGGCTTCCCCTGCAGGAGTCAGCAGAGGGGCTGGACGTGGCGTTTGTCGGTGTTCCGCTGGACACGGGCACGTCCAACCGGCCGGGAGCCAGGTAAGTGCCAGCCAGGGGAGCTGCTGCTTCCCTCTGGCCATGGGGGCACGGCTCTCCTGCGGTGAGAGGAGCGCTGGGAGCGATGCCAGCCGTGCCATCGCCCAGGTTTGGCCCGCGCCAGATCCGCGCCGAGTCCGCCATGGTGCGCAGGTACAACGGCAGCACCGGCGCGGCACCGTTCGACTCCCTGCGGGTGGCTGACATCGGGGACGTGAACGTGAACCTCTACAACCTGCCCGACAGCTGCCGCCTCATCCGCGAGTCCTACCAGGAGATCGTGGCCTCGGGCTGCGTGCCCCTCACCTTGGGTAAGGAGCCCTGCTCTCCCTGTCCTGCCACTGCGTCCTGCCTCTGTCAAACTCCGTCATTCAAGGCAGGCTTGGCAGAAGGGGAGCGATGAATCCATCGCCTGCCTGGGCTGTTGTGCTGTGTCGGGGGTAAACTCACAGGCTCTCTGCACTCAGAGTGTTCTGTGATGCCTCTTCCTTTGGGTCAAAAATGAGGAGGATGGCTCAGTGTATAAATACAACCAGTGGCGTGGTTTTGGTGTCCTGTTGAGCAGGTTTTGTCCTTTGTGTCCCTCCAGCTGAGCGAGCAGCAGGCTTTGCACGAAGCCTGATCTGGGTGCACGTTCAAGTTCACAGCTATTACTGCTTGGCATGGCTGAAGGCAGTGAGTGTGCGGATAACGAGGGGCAAGTCACCAGTTACAGCATCCTCAGGAGCTGATCAAATGTCTATTTATAAGCCCAATCAAGGGCTCTGCTCCACAGACAGTCCCTGCTGGCAGTCCTGCATATCTGGTCCTCTCTAGAAGGAAAACCAGAAGAGAGGACTCAGGAGAAGTGAGAGGAAGCAACCCGCACCTGGGAGCATTAGTTTTCCTTTGGCAACAAAGCCCTGCATAAATAAGTGCAGGATAAATGCAAAGAAGGAGAAAATTACTTAGGAATGAAAGTAATGAGCGCTGAGCAGCTCTCATAGTGTGTTCCCCCTCTTCCCTGTGTCCTCTTGCAGGTGGAGATCACACCATAACATATCCAATCCTGCAGGCCCTGGCGGCAAAGTGAGTTTCTAATCTGGAGAAGGAGAGAAAGGACCTGGCAAAGAGCCTCAGGTTTGCTGTCCCTGCTGTTGGCAGGGCCACCATGCATGGGACAGGACTGATGTGTCCACCTTGTCTGGAGCAGGCACGGTCCCCTGGGGCTGGTGCACGTGGATGCCCACACGGACACCGGAGACGCGGCTCTGGGGGAGCGCATCTACCACGGGAGCCCGTTCCGGCGCTGCGTGGAGGAAGGGCTGCTGGACCGCGGCCGCGTGGTGCAGATCGGCATCCGAGGCTCTTCCTACGACCCCGACCCCCACAAGTACAGCCGGGAACAGGTAAACTGATCCACACCCAGCGCTGGGGGCTCTCCCTGCTGTAAATACCACATCAGTGCTTGGCTTCAGGAGGGAAATAAATGCATTTGTGGCCTCTCGTTCCATGCCAGTGGATTGTTTGCAGGACAAGCACTTCCCAGCTCACTGAGTGATGAGTTAAAGTGTGTGTGTGGGGAGTGGAAGGTGTTTCCAGGTGCACTTCTGCAGCAATGAGGACTGTTCCTGGTAGATATTCCCCAGCAGGACAGGGGATGCTCCTCATCTCCCCCCTTTTCCCTAAGCAGGTGCCTGTGTGTCTGTGTTCCCACAGGGTTTCCGGGTGGTCCCGGTTGAGGAGTGCTGGATGAAGTCCCTGGAGCCTCTGATGAGGGAGGTGAGGGCACAGATGGGGGACAAGCCCATGTACATCAGCTTCGATATCGATGGGCTGGACCCCGCGTACGCCCCGGGCACCGGCACCCCGGAGATAGCCGGGCTCACACCTGCGCAGGTGAGGGGGACACCACTGCCCTTCCCATGGGAAAGGGATGTTTTGCACCCTTTAAAGGAGGTTGTTTCACCAGCACAGCAAAGTGGAAGTTTAGAGAGGCCAGGAAGTATTTCCTCATGGCAATGAGGAAGGGAAATGTGGGACTGATATGCTTTGGTCTGTTGGGTTTCCTTACTGGAATATGGGGAAAGCAGAGCCTGGGGTGGTCTGCTAGGTCAGATGTGTTTCTTGATCCCAAATCCATTTTTTCCCCCTAGGCTTTGGAGATTATTCGTGGCTGCAAAGGCCTGAACATAGTGGGGTGTGACCTCGTAGAAGTGGCACCAATGTATGATGTCTCTGGTGAGTCTGAAGATGCCTTAGGGCAAGAGAAGTGCCTGGCACAGGCTGGGGGTGAAAGCCAATGGATATACAGATTTTTTTCTTGTTTTTTGTCTTGTTTTTTTAGGCAATACAGCCCTCCTAGGGGCAAACCTACTGTTTGAGATGCTGTGTGTCCTCCCAGGAGTGAAGACGCTGTGAGGGCAATTCCCACCTGCCCTGGGGCAATGCTACTCCGTGTCCTCAGCCAGGCTTTCCATGTCCCCTTCCTTCAGCCAGCATGGGCTTTGCACCATGAAATAAATGCCATTTACCACTAGAAAAGGTACTTTTAGGCTGGGAAAATGTAGGGAACAGGCTAGACACCCCATTTAAACTGGGGTCTGGAGCTTTGGAGTTGGCCTAGGAAAGGGACAGATGAGGTTAATGCCATTTTGCCTCTGGAATGATCACTCAGCTCACAGGGCTCCTGGGCAAACTGTCACTGATAAAAGGTTTGTCCCATTAGGATGTCACAGCAGGACAATGAATGTAGAAGAAGGGAGGACATTAAGGGTTAGGGTTAGGGCTAACCCTAACCCTCAGCCTCCTGCTGAGTAGGGAGATATTT